TGCCAGATGCCCTCTATTTTTGTATAAAAGCCCAGCAAATAAAGTGGAGATATAATTGCAGATAGCAGATTGAGAGATATAGAAACAGATAATTGAGTCAGGTTAGCAGTAGTGACCTTAACTAAAGTGCGTGAATCATTCTGAATTATAGCGTGTGTTTAAGTTAACGTGACTGTGGAAATTCTGGGTATTGCAAAGTTTTATTGAGAAAGAATAAACTAGTTTTATTTAAGAAAGGACCTGTGTCGCTAAAGTTTCATCGGAAAGAATTTTTACGGAAAATTAACAAACGAACACAGAGGCGTAACAATATATTAGGAGAATTGAATAAACAAAAAAATCAATAAAATAATCTTTGTGTAGCATAAGTTATCCAAACTACAAATATAATTTATCATACAGTACATTATGTACAAAATTCAGTGGTTCTGGTTAAAAATGTTTTAACCTTTTCTTAGGAGCTGCTTGAAAATTCTATTTAGTTTACATATGATTGCATTATGTAAATTAATAGTGTATGAAAGTCTAGAACTTTTAACTTGTGACAATACAAACTGTGTGTGTTTTAGCTGTACATTTCTACTAAACTATAAATAACCATTCATTACATACAAAACTGTATACTCTATTCACCTTTCATAACTATATACTTACACTGAAATCTGATGATTTTATAAAGGAATACAGTTAATAAAAAGGGTTTGTATTAGTTCTTTTCTCTTCATAACCCTTTATACTGTTTCATTGGAAGCTGTCATTTATTTTGTAGTTACTAAGTGTACTCGGTGGTTATTATGTGTTAGGTTCCAGTCAGTATGACAAGAACAAGCTTTAGTGACTGTACATGTTTGTAAGGTAAGCATATCAATGTAATATAACAAAGTACTTAAAACAAAGTTATAGTGCATTGTGAAATCAGAATGTTGTTCTCTCAGTATTTAATTAACTGTAGTTGGTGTGTTTTTACTTAGAATACAATCAACTATTATACTGAACATATTTAAAATGAAAAAAACTTAAGAGCATTGAAAAAGTACATAAGTTAAATTTTAAGGCAGAAATAATCAAATATTAAAAATGTTCATTGTCTGTGAAACTATATTTGAAGATATCAGAGAAATGAGGAATTGGAAAAAATTAATACTAAGTCTAAAAATCATTAATCAGTAAACCAAGCTTGCAAGCTTTTTTGCTACTGTTTTAACAAATAATATCTTGTATGATAGTTAATTATACAATGCATCCTGAAAAGTATACTAGAGTTTAGTTTAACCTGTTTTAAATTTATTTTACAAGGCTTATATTTTCAATAGTATACACAAGCCTAATGTGCAATAAAAAACTGCCTTGGGGAAGATCACATTTATTGAATAAGAAAATAACTGTTACATTTTACTATCCAACTAGTTCCTATATTTCATCATATTTTCAAATTCAACAAGTTGTTACAGTTTTGTTGTTATTTGTTATTATGCACAAAGGGCTATCTGTGCTCTGCCCACCACGGGGATTGAAACCCGGTTTCTAGCAGTATAAGTCCGCAGACATACCACTGTGCCACTGGGGGGCTTGTTACAGTGGCTTACATATTTCAAGAAATAAGAATTAGCATATGGTTTGAAGAAGATAATTACTGAACTTTTTTGATAATTAGAAAAGTCCTGTGTGTGTGTCAAGTGACCAGATTTTCTGGAATCCAAAGCAGGACATCTAACTGATGAATAAAAATTTGGTTGCATTAAAAAATAAAAACTTCTTTTCACAAAAAATTCATACCATCTTATTATTATACTTTTCATTAGATATTATTTTCTTTAACAAATCAGGAGTGCATTTTGGAAACATGTAATAGAAAATAATGACATTCATGAAATATATATACCATCTAATCATTACAATTCTTATTTGAAGATATTTTCGTTAAACAACCTAAGATGTTTTGGGCTTTCAGTACATATCCTAAATAAACAAACTAATTTCATATTGTTTTGTCAGTTATAACAATATTGCTATGTACTGAATGCTAATATATGACATTTCATTGATTTCATAGTATAAAGGTCAATGGTTAACATCTAACAGTGTTTAATGAGACGATAAACAATCTAATTTCATATTATTACATCCTCAATAAGTATATGATTATTTATGTATTTAAATGTTAATATATGAAAATAAAGGATATCTATATGAGAACAGGACAAATCTTATGTGCATTCATAGTATGGTCGTGCTTACCAGTCAAAATGGTATATTTAAGTGACAAAAATAAAACCTATTATTCTATAGGTATTTGAAAAACTTGTATCATTCTGCCACAATTTAATTCTTCATATTTTTAGCCGACACTAGGTAGTTGATACATAATTGAACAGAGTGGTTTGAACATTTGTTTAACAACAAGTAAAAGCTTGGAATGGTCTATTCTCTATTGATGGTATGTCTGTGGGCCAGACTAGTTTCAGAGGGTCACTGATGAGGAGTGGAATTCTCTGAAACTAGTCTGGCCCACACACATACCCCCACTGAAAGAATAGACCATTCCAGGCTTTTACTTGTTGTAAAACAAATGTTTTAACCACTCTGTTCAAGTGCTTACCAGTATTAATTTTGATAATGTGAGACATTTAAGTTCATTATCTCCCAAAGCAGGACATTTTCGCATCTCCTAAAGTTTCTGGGGGACAGCAGGGCAGGCAGCTCAAAAACAGGACTGTCCTGCCAAAATCAGGATGTTTGACCACATTCCCCATGTAGAATTTTCTTCTAAATAAGCCATATTTAACCAAACTTTAAAGTGAAAGTATAAATCACATCTTAACCAGAATAAGTTTTGTATTTTCCTTGAAGACAGGAGAGCCTACCTATATGATATAGTTCAATATAAGTAGTAAGAAAAGTGTCACATTATTAGGTTTATGTTATATGCATGATCAATTTTTATAGGCTTGAGAAAATAATAAAAATTTTCTATATATGTCACATTCTATGGATACAAGTGATTTTTAGACAGTTTTACATCTGCATGTTTTGTTGCTTGTATTTTTTAATACTTTTGTTCAAAGTCTACTTATGACATATATATACATCTGCTTATTTAGATATATTATTTTACAATTTTAGTATCAGCCAGGTAAGATAATTTTGTATTTCAACTTAAAAGTTATCAATAAAGAAACTGTAATGTAATTGAAAGACTATTCTTTCTCTGCAGGAGAGCCCATACCTTAACAGTCTTATTTTTGCTGTCATGTACTCTTGTATACGTTGCTATTTTAGAACCAGTCATTGATGACACACAGTTTAATGCTAAAAGGTATGTGTAAAAAATACTTCTTTTCAACAGGCTTAAGTTTTATATCTTTTCCAAACATTTTATATAATATTTAAAGATATTCAATCCGTATTAGATGTAAAGTGATAACTAAATTTTGAAGCTATAGTCACTGTATAATAAAGAATAGATGATAATAAACATTAAAGGATCAAATACATGAAGTAGTTGTGGAGCTTAATTTTACCAGCTATGTTTAATTGAAGCTGAAACTTGTCAAAGTGCCTGCTCATCTGGATATTTAGTTAGTTTTGCAAAAGCAAAGACTAAATTAGAATTGCTGAGAAAAGTTTAAATGCGCTTTTCATATATAATAACTTTATTGCAGTTTTCCATAATAGATTAAATACAATGAAATTTAGGTGAAATTGTTTCCATGTTTAAACACTCTTTTGGAGGAAATTCAAATTGTCAAACACAGTACATTTATATGGAAAAGTCAAAGGATTTGGAGTATATATTCTCTTATATACTTCAAGCTATAGAATGCTGGATAGCAGTTTTTTGTACAATATGTGAGAAACTAAAGATATCCAGATTTAGAACTAGACATATATATATTCTCATTAATGCATCCATAAGATAATTTATTTTAGGTACCACAAAGTTAAAAGACTAATGTAGTCTTCTCCCACTGACACTGGTTACTTGACCTGCTTCAGGATCAAGAAGATTAGCTTGCTAGTTCATCAGTTTTCTGAATAATAAATACTGATGTTAACTTGAAAAAATAATAATTGATTAGGGTATTTGTTTGTTATTAGGCACAAAGCTACACAATTGGCTAGCTACCTGTGCTGTGCTCTCAGACTTATTGCTGATCCACTGTGTGGCCAATTATGATGCTAATATAAATAAATAATATACTGTTAAAAAAATTCTTACCTTAATTCTGATTTGTTGTAACATAAAAAAAGAATTGATAAAATTACATTTTATTAATTGAATCCAGCTCACATTGTAATAGTTGTTCTTCAAGCGATATGCAAATATAAATAACTCTCAACCACTACTATGTCTGCTGTATCTCTGCAGACCTCGAGAGCCCAGGTATTGGCCATAAGGCTTCATTGGTACTGTGGTTGATGTATTATCATAAACTCTTGTTTACTTTCACCCAGAAGTTTAAATTAATAATACCTAACAAGAGCAGGATTATTTCTAAGTAAATATAGATCAAAAATAAAACGAATTTCCCAGAATCATAGGAATGTATCTCAAACATCTCTGAGATTTAGTACTTTACACTTGGTTTCATACAGTAAGAAGTAAGTAAACCACTTAGAATTTAACCTTAATGTTTATGTTGTGTTACAATACTTTGAAATCAATTAATCAAAAGAACCTTAAGATTTTTTATTTCTTTGAAAATTGTGTGGTTTTTGTGTTTGTCAAACTGACACAAGTCATAATAGTGTAGTATATTCAGGTGAACTGAATATTCATTTGAGCTATTGTATAGGTCTGCTAAACAACAAGAGATTCGCTCAGGTTATAGATTACACAGTAGTACTAACGCTCTTATTAACTGAGTCAATGTAAAATGAAGTAACAAGACTAGACAAAGTGAAATACAAAATTAACAATCTTTATTAACACAATAAAGACATGCACTTATAGTTTACTTACATTTGAGTGTCATTTTCATTGGACTGACAACCAAATTGTACTAGTTTTATCTTTAATGATGTTCTACACCAGACTGCCAAATTCAAGGTTTCTTAGTTTCCAAGAAACCTTCCATTTACCCAGAGCAATATGCACTATCCACGTGATTGGTCATTCTCACTACAACATAAGTGAGACCTTAATCTCTAGGTTCCACCTGAACAACCATTGAAAGACACTGCTGTCAACATTTTTACACAGCATCCTGCTAAATAACATTCTCCAAAGGCATTAAAAAGTATTACCTACTTTAAGGAAAACAAAAGTAATTTGAAACAAGATCAACTTAAAGGTTCTGTGAAACCTGCACGTATACAGAATAAAGAATGAATTCAGAGGACAGACATACATGGTATATTCTATACCATAACAGTAAATTAATTGTGAGTTTTAAGACTGTTCAGTGTAGTTTGAGTGCACCTTTAGGTTTTAATGCTTTTAGATTGAATATTATTTTCTTTATTACCATATACTTTTTGTACTTAATATTAACTATCAGAATTGATACAGTAACTGGTAAAGTGAGGATTTTAGAGTACATAGTAGTTTTGTAATTAAATAATATACTGTAAAGCTCAGTATAATTTAAAAAATTACTTCCGTTTTTTACTAGTAATGTGCTTTATAATTGAGCAGTATTAAACTTTTTATATTGATGGGATTTACATTTTATAACTGATCAGGGGCCTTGTTGCTTGTGTCATAGCATTTTTATTGCTGGGTGTAACTCAAATTCCTGATGGACCTTTTCTAAGACCTCATCCAGGTAGGCCTACCTTAAATACATCTTTGTATAAGAATAACATTTGTGCTTGATTAATGATTTATAATGTGTTTTATTAGAATTTTATTAAAATTTGATAATTAGAATTTTTATTGAAATATGTAGTGTATTTTTAATATCAGAAATATTTAAGATACGTATTTTTATTTTCATTTTATTATTTAGATAATATAAGCATCTTTCATGTTTTTTGTTTGTGCACATAAGAGCTGCTTATGCAAAAGTATGTATATTTAGCACTTGAATAATTAACATTATCTTTTATCAACACATTAATGTTGCTTCTAATCTTTGAAACACTTTTTATGTAATTTTTAATTGTGCATCTTAGATGGTTATTTTTATATAATTCCAGCTAGTTACAATCTCAAACCAATGCATTTATTCATTGAAAGTCATATAAATCAGACCTCAAGGAGAGAGGCTATAAACTTGTAGCTCAAGTTCTGATTTCTACTCTTTTGGTAATAGTTAATTTTTTGCAACAGGATACTTCACATATTTTACTTAAATTACTCATTAATGCCTTTGAGAATAGAATATCAGCAATCCTGTGGCTTGTCTATTGTAAATAAAAGAATTTTATAATTTTTCACTACCAACCCTGTTAAAATTGAGGTTTTTCTTTTATCCTCTTACATTTCCCTATCATCTTATTACATATTCTCAACAAGACATACTTGTGTAGATTGTTTTTAAAAGGCAGCAAGTCATAAAAGTTAGTAGTTATTGGCTATGTATAATGATTTGTTCCTAAGAAGCATTTCAAGCAGCAACTGTTTGAATGTTTGACAGTCAAGTGGTCAGTGTCTTTGGAAATTTTATTAATTAATAAGTGAAGCTTTTTTTCTTTTCTTTAGGAAACAAAAGTCTGATAAATATTTAAGCTTAACTCTCACAAGTCAATTAAATGCATGTTAAGTTCAAAAGAGGCTGAGTGATTTATTTTTTCCATTGATTTTTCTCTCCTTATATTAAAATTTTTTTTGTAACGTATAATGAATTTCTAGCACAATAATTTGATTTTCTTTTAATACAAAGACACAATGCTACAGAGCTAATTGAAATCTATATGTTAGACTTTCCTCTGTGAAGTGATTTATTCATTTTTCATAGTGTTGGCAAGTGTAACTATTTTTTTTAGTCTGGTGTCAAATCTTTGAAACATTATTTTATAACAATTACACTACTACTTTTTTATTTCAAAATTGATAGGTGTATCAAACATTAGTCAGAAAAATATGTTGTTGCTAGAGTACATAAATGTTACAGCTTAGGGTGCATAAACTACTGAAGTTCATCATTAGTCACAACACAAGGGTGTTTAATACATTGGTTTCAGTTATAATCAGATCACTTAGCTGATGGGAGCTTGTGACCTGGTTGAGGATTTAGCCATGATCATCTAATTCAGCATACTTTTCTTAAACAATGATGAAATAACTTTGTTTTATATACTTTTAAAATGAAACATTAAATTGCTGTTTATATTTTTGAAATAATAAAACATTACTATTATATACATATTTGTAGAATGGTGTTTCTAGAGAGAATTACACTCCTAACTAATACTAAGATCTGAAAATTTAAAAATTATATGTATAAGATGAAAATATAAATATCACTTCTATTAAAAAAATAAAATCTATAACTTTTGACCCCTGAAACTTTGTTAAAAAAGGTATAGAAAAACTCAAAGAAAATTAATTAAACCATTGATAACATGGGTTTGAAGTGATTATTCAGAAATAGAATTAATAAAATGTATAATGTACCTATTGGTTTATTATTATCATATCTGAGGTGTAAATATGTAAACAGAATGGGAATAATCTTCAGAGTAACTAATCTCTACTCTATGTATAAATTAAAACTAAAAACAACCTCAGTGGGCTATCAAAATACCCCTCCCCTTTTCTTTTAATTCCAAACTGGTTATTTAACTGCAAAGACATTATTTGTTCTGATGCAAAAATAAGGTAAGTTTACATTCTTTCTGAGGACTTTACATACTAACTTACCTGTAGCAAGATATTACAGTAACAGTGTAATAAAAATACTTACCCTTAGCAAGATGATTATTACAATAACAGTGTAATAAGAATATCACAATATGAAGTTAGTGCATTCATAAAAATCAATCATTTAACTGAAAATGGTTAGTAGCAGCAAAAGAAAGTTTTTTTATAAAGTTTCTTGTCACTCAAATTCAGGTTTTCAGGTATGGAATACCAGTATCTAAGTTTTACAAATTAGATTCTGAGTATCCCTGGTTTCATTTGTGTAGCTTTTATAAAGCACCATATTGAAGCTTGCTTTGATACAAATTTTGGAACCTGGTTGATTCACAAAAAGTTCCCTTTGTTGCTCTGGAATTTCTCTGCAAAATGTTATATATATCTAAGCCTACTTATTTTATTATGAAACTATGATATTAAATAATATTCACACACTTTGAACATACAATATATTATTTAATATCATAGTTTTATGCAAAAGTACATATATATGTCAAATTGGTGTTCATGTGTTTTTTTATGACTTTTGATACCATCTGATACAAGCTTAGTCCCACAGTGTGATGAAATAAAGGTATTTTACAGTGAAATTCTTATGAAATTATTACATATTTTCAAATTTCCTCTTCTATTTAATTATTTGCTTTTATATCTAAAAGCTAATTATTTCTTGCTAGAAGATCACAATGTCACCCTTTCAACACAGTTTAGGCTGTAACCTCTTGCTTACATTAAATGCAAGCATTCACTTCTCAAGAATTTGGTTAAAGCTTAAATAAATCTTCTAATATTTGTCATTAGTTATTATATATTACTACTTTTTTATTTCAAATTTGACAGGTATATCATAAATTAGTCAGAAAATTATGTTGTTAGAGTTAAACAGAGCAAGTGCATGTTTTTATGCTACCACAAGTAGGTTTTATTGGCCATGTTTATGTCCTTTAAAAACATTTCAGCAATCCAGCAAAGACCAATCAGAGTCAGTATAGTTGAAAAAGGATTATGGGATTGTTATGGGAAACTGATATATTTATTACTGAATAAACTAATTCTTTGTTTAAAGTAATTATGATTATAGAAGAGAGTAGAGCATTGTTACAAAGAACTGGATATCTGGCTTTAGTACACTGTTACTAAACAAATTCATTGTTAAAATTATTGTCCCTAGATTTGATGTGCATTTTTTAAACATTAGAAAACTATTAGTATATATAGACACACACACACACATTAATTGCCAGAAAAGTTGAATTTTATTGAGTTAGAGCCATGTGAATCTATTACTTTGGGTTGATTTTTCATTCTTGATAGATACTTGTTTATGATGTCATAGTTAAGACCATTTCTAATTTCCATTTTGAGTAATAAGTGCAATAATTATAGAAAATCTTTACAGTCTCTAGAATAATTATGAGTATAGGTATTTAAGTACATGTAGGTTTCTTTCTGCTGAATGGAAAATATTTAGAGATGAGAAGCAGACATTTCCATGTGACAAAAGAAAGTGGTACTTATTGTGAGGTTACATAGATAGAGATAAGTATGATAAAGCTAGGCCTGAGGGAATAAAGTTTTTTGTATTAAGTTAAACTTTTGAATTACAAAATGCAGTACACAAGTTTACTTGGTACCACATATATAGGTGAAACTAAAGTCCTCTAGGTAGGTATCTTCATAACATAACGTTTTGGGACAACGTGAGACCTGTTGGTCCATCTGGACTGTTCCATCCTCTAAACTTAATTAAAAAATAAATAAATCTTAAAGCCAGCCCTTATCATTCATATACTTATCAAGCTTTTTCTTAAACTCACTTAAATTCACTGCCTCTACAACATCCGAAAGTAACTCATTCCAAAGGCCAACCACCCTGTTAGAAAAATGAAACTTTCTTAGCTGAAGATGACACCTACCTTGCCTAAATTTATATTTTTGTCCCCTAGTCATACTGTTCTCACTGTTAAATGTGAAAAAAGATGATGCATCAACACTATCAATCCCTTTACAATCATAAACACCCCAATCAGATCCCCCTAACTCTTCTTTTTTCAAAAGAAAACAATTTGAGAGATTTCAGCCCCTCCTTATATGACATCCCCTATATCCCAGGCACCATTCTAGTAACCCTTTCCAACAATTCAATGTCTTTCCTAAGGTAAGGAGCCCCAGAATGAATATAGTGGCCTAACCAGTGACGTGTACAATGAAATTATAACCTGTTAAGACTTATATTCAATATTTCTGTGGATACAACCTAAAATTTTGTTTGCCCTACCACTAGCAACAACACATTGCTTGGATGGCTTTAGAGACTGATCGACTATTACACCCTTTCCTTCATAACAC